GTGCTGGGGATGAGGGGGTTGACAACACAATGATGATGTATTTGGCGAAAGTGTTCCCCCTTGAAATAAAAATCAACGGGTCTGAGCGATTTTCAATTTTTTTCACGAGTTCGGAGATTAGGGGGGGTGACAAGTTTTAGCTGGGACACCCTGCATATGTTAGTTTTAATCTTAGATAAAAGAGACCAGAGATATAACATACACCGATGTTTAACCTGAGCAAATGTTGCCAATTTCTAAAGAAAGGTTAACGGAGTGGGGAACTGGGCAGAAACCCGAAATCTGTGACAAGGACCGGACTTTGTTTATTATCATCATAATGAACTATTAGATTTATTTAAAATATAGGTTTAATGGAATTTTGTATTATGAAATAAAATTAACATGATTTTTTAATATCAAACAGATGCACAACATTTTATGTAAAAAGAAGACCTTTTATAGAATATTTCGTTTGCGTTTATTTACTACGGACTTTTCAGCAAGATACTACAGTAAAATATTGAAATAGAATATTGTTAATAGAGCAAGAAATGGTACTCACTGTCTACGAGTATTATAAAAAAAGCATGTGCGCAGGCGAATACTGCAAATCAAACCTTTTGAGTCAAACATTATATTTTTTCTACGGCTATTACATAATATTAAAAATTAGTCAAAATGAGAAAATATTGTTTTGTATTGTAACCCCAGCTTCTTTCTTTAGGAATATTAATTAATATAGAGGATGAATGATTGTCGAAATAAATAACAGATCATTGAAAATAATCGATTATTTTCGATTATTCCATTGTTTTCAATCTATTTGTTTTTCGTATTTCCTTTAAAATAGACTACTTGATTATCTTTGAAAAATCGAAAATAATCGATTAATTAATAAGTCGATTAACTGATAAATCGATTTTCAAAAAAAAACCGAATTGTCGATTATTTTAAATAATCGATTATTTTCGATCAATCGATTATTATCAATAATTTATTTTTATTGTATTTCATTTAAAATCGATAATTCGATTATCATTGAAATACCGAAAATAATCGATTAATTAAGAAGCCGATTCTACTATAAATCTATTTTCCAAAAAAATAACCGAATTATCGATTATTTTCTAATAATCCTTTTCATATTTCCTTAAAAATATTGTATCCACCCAAAATTCCCACCAGAGTCAAAATTTCCACCCAATGGGGAAATTTCCACCCAAACGGCAACACTGCTCTGCTTGCATCAAGTCCACCATATTTGCAGATCTGCAAAGTTGCAGACTTTCTGCAATCTCACCTATAGGCAACTTCTCATACATTTTCTCGTAAATACTGTTGCCTGCTATTGTTTTACAAACCTGGTTAAATTCTACAATTTCACCAGTAAAAACATCAACAAATTAATATTTTACATCTACTAAATAAATAAACAATTCTCAAATAGTTCGACTGCTTTTTACCCTATTATAATGTGAAGTCATAAAACTATAAATAGCATTTTTCTCAGAATACCGAACGTCGAACACCTGTGTTTTCAAGTGCACAGCGGTGCATTGGAACAAAATGAGTGTCCGGCGCATAGTGAACGAAGCACAAATGACGTATTTCATTATGTCATGATGTTTTCATTGGTTGAAACCGAATAGGTGCGTGAACTATGCCCCGGACACTCAGTTCGTCCCAACAGTATATATTAAGGTGCGCTCGACGCGAGCAGTTCAGTTGTATGTTTGCCATCATTCAGTAGTTGTCTTATTGCCATCGAGTTCAGTTGTCTTTTTGCCATCATAGCTCACAGTTGTCTTTGCCAGGTGCTTTCTGCCGACGGCACGTTACTTTCTACATTTTTACAAGCGTTTAATGCAGTTTATTTTCTGGTGCAAGTTATATCTTCTACAATTATTATGGCATAAGAAATTCTACAAACAAATGTTTTCAAGTTGGTAACTAAAAAATCAACTGTATTAGTTAATAAAATTGTGATGAACTAAAATTGTAAATATTTGAAACTGTTTAGTGAAGATAAGAAAATTATTATATCTAAATGGAATCAACCACTATGTATTTACTTCAGTGAAAATAGTAAATTAAAAACACTTCTTTTTCTACTACCTATGACTCGTTAGTTATTTCTACAAAAGAACTCAATTCTTCTAACACCAGCGACATATGCTACAGAACATTTTTACCAAAGAAATATTCGGAAGTAACACCGGTATTTTTTCAAAACCCATATACTTTCATTAAAACAAACCAATTTGAGTTTGTAGGCGTGATCTGGGGGGCTATTTTCAAACTCGAGAGAATTCATTTCTCTTAAGAGAAATGCCATACGTCAACGTAAAACCGTATTTTTAGGGCTCTTAGGGCCAGTGTGAACTCACTGACTGTTTCTCTCGGTTTATTTAGAGATAATTAAAATCTTCCTAAGAATTTTAATCTTCGATGCCTTTAAAAACAACATTTCCACATTGACGTATGACATTTCTGATGAGAATCTTGAGAGAAATGAGTGCTCCCATCCACATACTTTGATTTTCTTTTACTATACGGAGAATGATCGCACTGCGCAGCTTTCTGAGTGCCTTTTAAAAGGAGATAAAAAACTCCACCATTTTGAACCCTTATTACGTGTTGCCTACATCTTGGCGCAATATTTTTAATAGGTGCGTTTTAATCATCCGCTTCTGCTTCGGAATTGTCGGTTTTCTTGTTTTAATCTGACAGGTTAGAACGACTGAACCGACAATTCCGGAAGCATAAGCGGATGATTAAAACGCACCTGATATTTTGATTGCTGCTGTCAGTGTCAGAGAATATTATTTTTCGAGTCACAGTTTATTGCTAAAGAATCAGTTAGCTCACTTGAACCAGTTGAAAGTTCCAAAATAACATCCACTCCACGGATACAAATTTAGGATACGCAGAAGATTGTTGTTTTATTATAGGCGGTTGTCATATAGTATTATCTGAGTTGCGCAGTGTATAAACTGGAACATTGAGATAAAAAGTGCCGACGCAGAGTGAGCGATCTGATTCTTTAGCTATAAACTGTGTCATAGGGTTCAAAATGGCCGCGCCTTATGTTGGGCGTGGCTCCCATCACATACTTTGATTTTCTTTACTATACGGCGCAAGAGAGAGGTCCGACACGCCCAACATAGGGCCCGGACATTTTGAACCCTATGCAACAGTTTATAGCTAAAGAATCAGATCGCTCACTCTGCGTCGGCACTTTTGATCTCAATATTCCAGTTTATACACTGTGCAACTCGGATAATACAATATATAACAACCGCCTATAATAAAACAGCTGTCTTCTGCGTATCCTAAATTTGTATCTCTGGAGTGGATGTTATTTTGAAACTTTCAACTGGTCCAAGTGAGCTAACTGATTCTTTAGCAATAATCTGTGACTCAAAAAATAATATTCACTGACACTGACAGCCGCAAGCAAAATATCAGGTGCGTTTTAATCATCCGCTTCTGCTTCCGGAATTGTCGGTTTAGTCGTTTTAACTTGTCAAATTAAAACAAGAAAACCGACAATTCCGAAGCAGAAGCGGATGATTAAAACGCACCTATTAAAAATATTGCGCCAAGATGTAGGCCACACGTAATAAGGGTTCAAAATGGCGGAGTTTTCTATTTCTTTTTAAAAGGCACTCAGAAAGCTGCGCAGTGCGACCATTCTCCGTATAGTAAAAGAAAATCAAAGTATGTGGCTCCCATACTTTGAAAATAGCCCCCCAGACAGATTTAAACGTGATCGAAGCCGCCTGCCGCTCATCAATATGCCGGTCAGTGCCAGTGGTGTTTAGTTTTTAGTGGTGATATTTTGTGATTTTTATGTGTTCAACTGTACAATATAATGGGAAATAAACAAAAATTGAAAATAAGTAGCCATAGAAAAAATAAGACTTTAATTGCAAAGAGAAGGTGGGTATTGTTATTATGATGATAATTTATTATTATTAATAATATACATTATTTAAAATGTGGCGGTTTGATTATGGCGGATTAAATATTAATTTTTTCGGAGTTGGATAAATTTTGAAATAGGTAGTTTTCGGGGTAGCTAGTTAAAATTAAAAATACAGGGTGTCTCGAAAGGAATGAGACACAGAACAGCGGTAAGGCTCATCATTTATTACGACTCATTTTGCCCACTTTTAAAAGAACTTTGGTGTGCGTTTGAAAATTGACGAAATAACAAGTGCAATCAAACAAATTAAACATGCACTATATAATAATTAATTTCTAATAAGGCAGTCTACCCAACATTTTTGCAAAATCATTCTCATAGAGAGTGTGATAAAATAAAATAAAGTTAAAACAGTTTAAAATTTAGTTCTCTTAAAACTGATTAGTTTTACAATTTTTTTATGCCTATCCCACTTATTATCATAATCTTAAAAAATATTTTAAAGGTCTAATTAGTTTTTGAATATTGTTTTAAAAATACTCCTAAGAACCGTTATAGGATTCTTCCTTTTACTCTTAAAGCAGCTTTATATAAGCCCTAAGGCTATCTCGCGGATTCAAAAGTTGTATCACTGTCTTAAAAAAAGATTTTATGGTTATCTTGTATACTTTGATAAATCTAAAAATGTTACTTGGGACGTCATCACTAATGAACCGCATTGTATGGAGTGATCCATACAAAATCTTCCTAAAGTAGACCTTAGAAAAATTATAGCATGACAGAGCTTATAGTTCTTCTTTTTTAGCGATTTCATTTAGAGCCGTGTGTAGTTTTATCACGGACATATCGATCTTTGCCTGTCATGCTTTAGAAACATTTTTTGCAGATCACCCTTTACATAAAAGTGAAAAACACATGAAGTGCCTTTCATGAAACCTGCCAGTGCTACAACCAACAACACACGACTGGGAAGGTCCTGAATTCGTACGTGTCTGCAGTCTAATTTAGATCTGGTACCAAAATAAAGTGCAACGACCAAAATTGAAATCAATTATTTTTAAATCAATTTTAATAATAAAAGAAATTAGTATATCATAAAGATCAATTAAATTTTATTAAATTAATACTTATAATGAAATTTTCCAATCCAAAATAAAAAGTATATTCAAAAATTAAATTTCTAGTCTCTCTCAGCAATAGCAGTCAAGTGGTGATCTATTTCTTGTTCAGTTAATTTTCTAAATTTAGGCTCATCCTTCGTTACAACGCCTACTTCTACCTCGGTAGGCTTAAAATCAACTGAGAGAACACTAGAAAGGCAACTGATGGCTAGTTGAATTACTTCTTCCTTTCCCAGGTCTGTTTTTTTCTTCAGTTTCTTCTCCAAGTAACTGTTAGCCTCGGTTTGTTTAGATCCTACACCTACTGCTCTATACCCACAGTAATAACCTGCAGGATCAGCTTTATAGACACAAGGACCCATCTCTTTATCATAACCTACTAGCAGCATGGAACATCCTTAAAAAAATATATAAATTATAATATTTGATTACGTTTATTGATAAAATCAAAATAATTATTTAATTAAATATCAAAATCGTACAGAGGTCCTTAAGGTTTATATGGACCCACCTCCTCACTCGTTTCTGACTCTAGAGATGGCTCTACCTGTCGAATCAAATTTAGTATACAATTTATTAAAGTTACAGGGTTCTATCTGTGATAGAATAATATTTCGTTAGTTTATATCGCCGCCAAAAGAGACTGCTAGCACAATAATAGATTACGCGGGAGATCTTTATGATTCGATGCGAAGAACGTTGCCAAACTTCAATATAATTGTTTTATTTGTTTATGTTGTAAGCCGCGGGAGGTGAGGTGCCGAGCGCGGATAGCCCAAGCGATCCAGCTAAGAGATGGATATGACCTGGCGAGCTTTTGTTAAGTCTTCCACTGGTCCGCTCAATCATTCTCAACTATGAACTTTACTGAAATAAAATTATTTAGGGTGAGCGCATTATCCTTAAAATATGGTATAAAATTAGAACAATATAATCTATGTGAAATAAAAAAAAACTGACTGGAGGATACGTTCGCGCGCTATGGTTGGGTACTATTTAATAATTAAATGAATATTAAATAATTTCAATGAAAACTATCCATAATTTTAAAGGTGAGAAGAGAAAGAAAAAAAATAGACAGAAAGGGAAAGAAAGAAAGAACGTAAACAAAAGGTCAAGAAATGCAACTTCCAGACGATTCAATGTACACCTCAGGTATACATTTTTGAAATCGAATAGTATAAAAGAGTAGAAAAATGTGATAGTATACAGAGTAACTAATATGTACCTTAAAGGTAAAAAATGACTCAAAATCAATCCCACGTAATTTAATTTTAGGAAGTTAAATGACAACCGGTTTCGGGATTAGGCCATCATCAAGTCTAAAAATAAAGTAATAATCGCTTACAATATAAAATGACGTCTCCATAAAATATTTAAAAAAAAATACACTTGTATGATTAAAAAGGCAGTTGTAAGAGATACCATATGTGGGAAATATGATAGAAATTGTACAAGTTGAAAAAGATTTGCCTAAAGAAACTTATAGGCTAACACTACTCATCGCCATATTCTCACATTTATCAACATGTCCCACATATGATATTTCTTATAACTACCTTACCCTTGTTGGGGCTCAGTTTTAATCATGCACGTGTATTTTTTTAACCTTTTTATGGGGACGTCCTAGTAGTGTTTTGTTAGCGCTTATCACTTAATTTTTAGACCTGATGATGTCCTAAGGCCAAAACATTTAACTTAATAAAATTAATTTATATGGGATTGATTTTGAGTTATTGTCTTACTAATATATAGGGTGTTTCATTAAAAAAAAAAACAAGAAGAGTGGTCATAACCGGGGAGGAGACCGTAAAAGTTACAACGAGTATACCACGAGCAGAATTGTCCCTTTATATGATTTTCGACTTGTTATTGTATTTTTTCATGAAAGCCTCGCCTTTAAAATTATTTAGAGTGGATAATTTTCATTCTTTAAATGTTCCAATTGTGGATTTGTGAAATCAATAACCACAAATAAAGAAACTTAAAACTTCTGGCTACTAAATCTATTAGCAAGAGACATAACACTTTGCAAGAAAATTTGTTAAAATTGGGTATTTCTTCTTTTGATATTCTCACGTTTTGCATGTTTCTTAATAAAATATGTCACAATTAATGAATTTAGGGGTGACCATTCAATAATTATATCACTAGAGCCTTAATCATATTGCCTTGAACTTGGCTTCGTAGCCTTTAACTGAATCAGGGTCCTACTCTCGACATTAGGACCTAACACGTCTCTGTAAAAGGGCTAAAAAAAATACAATGTTTTCTTAAAACAAATAGTATTTCTATTAGGAAATATGATTTATTCGGCAATTTATGAGTTTTAAGATATAAGCCGAATAACACGTTGTTCTAGGCAACAGTAGTACAAACTAAAACCACAATGATTGACTGTTTGGACTAGACTGCTTTACCTGGGAATATTAATTGTAAATCATGCCTCTTCCATTACCTTAAGGGCCCAATTCTCGAAACATGCGTTAACTGCCGCATGCGCTAAGTAACGCATGGTCGTTAACGCATACGACAGCAATTTAGTATTCCTGAACACCATGCGATAATCGCGAATCAAGTCGAACGTGTTAACGAAGAGTCTTTGATTATTGCATAGTCTTGACCAATGAGGATTGAGAATACCAAAGATGGTATCACTGAATATGAGATAATTGCATTGACATATGTCAAAATTGCCAAAAATGCAAAAATTATAAAATTAAATGGATTGCAGATGTCTAATAATTTTTGGTTTTTGGATGTTTTAACTGTGATTATTTGTATTTTGGACTTGAGAATTGGAGTGGTTTAGATATAGAATATTAAAAATGGAACAGCGTGGTTCACGAATAACGGAAAAACAGCGTGAAACTTTAGTAGAATTTATAACATTGTTTAGTGCCTGTAAAACTCCTATGATAAAGCAGGATTAATTGACAATTATAACAGAGACAACCACATACAAAAGAAAATCAAAGTATGTGGAGACAACCCTCTGATCATAACCTTACTTTCACCTTAACGAATGCGACAAAGTGGTTGTCGAATGGTCATGAGCGCTCTTTGAAAATCACCATTTTTTAGCGCATGCGTTAATAAATTTGACGAATGCCGTCAGTTCAGGAATACACTTTCATCAAGTCGCATACGTTATCGCATGCGATAAGTTAACGAAGGCGTCAGGAATTGGGCCCCTGTGCAACAAAACAATTCTACAAAATACTTCACAGCTGAACATACACAAATATGGACCAACACTATCTTTAAAACAATTTAGCTTACCAACTGCAATATCTGCGACACATGTAACAACAATTTGTTAAAACCGCGATTTAAAATAAAAAAAGGACTTTTAATTTTCTACGATGGAGATCCAGAGCCTTTGGTCGAAGTCTTAGTGATCAGGAACCATTACTGGGAATATCCTACAAGGAGGCTCTCTTATGAACCCGATGAAGAGGATCCTCTATTGTGGAAAACGCCCTGTGTGTCTCTTTGAGGTTACCTTTATAACTTCTGTATAGTTTATTGTTATTAAACTAATATTTATTAATTATTAAATAATCAATTTTGTACATGATTGCAACTTAAAACCAATTCGCGAAATAAACAAACTTTTACGTACAGGGTGTTATTTAAATAAATAATTAAAATTTGGAAAAATGTGAATTTATACGAAGCGTGACAATAATATTAAAGTTATAACAAAACAAATCGAAGAGTCGGAAGAGGCAGGTACGATTCATACCTACAACAACGGTTCTAAAACAAAACAAGACTTAGGATGTGGAATATACTTCACATCTTTAAACCTAAACATAAAATGGGCTGTGAGCAGTAATGCCAGTGTAGTTCGAACCGAGCTCATGGGAATTCTCATAGCAGCAAAAGAAATCACAAGAAACAATATCACTGGAAGGAACATGCCATCTATACAGATAGCAGACATGCTGTACTTCCCCTGGACAGACCACGAATTTACTCCGGGTTGGTACTAGAATGTCATGAAGCTTTGGCCGAAGTATCCATTAATAATGTGTTTAACTTAAGATGGATCAAAGGTCACGTCACATTGAAAGGTAGTTGTCTTGCTGATTCACTAGCCAAGCAGGCAGCCAACCAAATACTTTTTGGACCTGACCCTACTATTGGCCTGACAAAATCGGTAGTGACAGACCTAATTAAAGAATATCAAGGAAATATTGAATAAAACAAGAAGCTGCAGGGAGCTTTCATGTTATCCTGACAACACTACAGCAAACAAATACTTGACTATCACTAGATGCCTGATCACAGGCATTCTGACGGGTCACTGCCAAGTAGGGAAGCATCTCCATGTCATGGGGCTGGCAGAATCCGCAATCTGCAAAGGGTGCAAACAAAAAGATGATATCATCGAGTATATCGTCTACAAGTGATCGATGCTCACATTTATTAAATGATTTGTATTCGTTGATAATTGGCTAACACCAGCCGATATAAGAAAGGCACCTCTTGGCAATATTGTCAACTACATTAAATCTGTAGGCTGGCTCACGAGCTAGGAGGTGCCGATCTATTTAGGAAGATGCAAAATGGGTTTAGTAAGGCCTAAGTGCCGTGGGTTAACCCACCCCCCACACGTTACAGATATAGATGTTAAACTTAACGAAACTGTTGCAATTGAAACATATGCTTCTATTACAAAGAATACAGTTGTTGAATGTGGTTTATTCATCTTTTAAGAAAAATGTTATCGTTTCTTAGAAACTTCACCGGATTGATTGGTAGATGATGCTAAAAATTTTTAAGTAAAGTGTTTTTACTTAGCTCGAGAATTTGCACTATTAAATGCACAAAAACATGTTAAATACTTTTGTTCTACTACTGCTGATGGAAAAAAATTGTTCCTTAGGAAAACCATAACTATTTTTACTAAGTAAATGTTTAGCAATGATTTATTTTTTGTAGGATCAATAAGAATTTTTAAAAGGTATATTTAATAAATTTATTTATAATAGAAATAGTTTTTTTTTTTTAGTTAAAAAAAATATGAAATACCTACTAAGGTAATATGGTTTTTGAGCCAATCAGATTTTTACGAATTTATATTTTTTAACAGAAAAAATGTCATTACTAAATACCTGTTGTTTTAATTTCAAAATCTGTTTTTTTTACTTGCCAACCTTCTTAAATATCGTCCTACGATCCAATTTCTACCAAAAACTAATCAACATGCAATTAACATGATACTGATATTTGGTAAACATCTGTTCAACTTTTTTAATTGATAAAACACATGCATCATTCAGAATGTACCTTTCATTTAATAATTAAATAATTCAAATATTCTGTAAAATAAATAGGTACGTTTGCATCGACCGAATTATTAATAGAAACATATTTATTTAATCCAGC